TGAATATGGCTGAAGCAATGATGCTAAGTCCCCCAAGAATAAACTCGTTTCAATCGGAAGATTATTCATCAGGAGACTTTGATGCTGAAAGTCTTTGGAGCTATTAACGACTAACGAACAGAGACGAATTTAGAATTTAGAGTTAGTGAATAATAATTTTGTTTGTACAAGTTAGTAATATATATGTATAATAATTCAAGAGGAAGCTGTATATAAATTCATGTGGTCATTTTAATTTCATAGAAATCGTGCGTACTACATTAAAAATAACTTTTACCGATAATAATTATGTATATTAACAAAGAGTTCTAAAGTCTAAAGTCTTTACTGGTATTAGTTAATTACAATTGGATCCAATATCATCATAGGATTTTGAGACATTTACAAAGAATGTTAATTGACTAAAAGAAACACATTTATAAGTGACAATTAAGCTATTGTCATTAATTAATTGCCGCTCAAGATTATTTTCAATATTGTGATGGCTCCTACTTATATGTCACTAAACCAATTGAATCCTGACATACGAATAGGTACTAAAGGAGATTGTTGTGATCATTACTGTATTTGTATCAAATAGAAAATAAATTTTACACTACGAAATTGACCACCTAAAGAATAATTACCAGTAATAGTTCTGAACATTTTTTTTACTTGTGAATCTATCGGTAATAACATTTTTACTTTTAAATAGAAATAAAATTGTATACATCCTTTCTGAATCTCACTTTGTGGAATCGTTATTATTGATTTTATAGTAATAATAAATATAATTTACTATAAGTGAAAGTAGTAATGACTTAAAAATAATAAAATCATCTTCTAATATATAAAAACAAATAGTTATGGTGACAAGACAGATTTTATTTAAGTACATAAAGACATGAGGGCCATCAAGAACATAAAGAGGTTTTGCTTTTCTTTTTTTTAATTAATGAAAACGTGGTTAAACCCAAGTGTTGTAGTGGCTTTGTCGGTCTGCTTGTTGAAGTTAAATGACAAGGACTCCTTTATCGATATAACATGAGTTGTGATGAAATGAATTTAATGATTTTTTATTCGAATTTTTGAGTTGGAATTTTATGATAAGAAGAAAATTGTTGAAAGCGTCGCGTACCTCGTATGAAAAAAATCTCCGTGAAATTAACTTGAACGAACGAGGAATCAAGAATTTTTTATCACTTACAAAATGAATAGGAAAAAATATGATATTATTTTATCTTTTGAAAAAAAATAATCTGAAGATATTTTTTTATATAATTTTTTTTTTATAAATAACCTAAAAATATAACTCTCCCTAAATGAACTCTAATATGTGTCTGTAGTGATTATATAATTAGAGATATTCAAATGATATTTTAAAAGTGATTTGTATTAAAAACACATACTCATTAATTAATTAATTAAATAATGACAAGTGCTTTCATAGTTAACATCCAAACATATTAATTAAGCAATCATGACACTTATCATGATTAAAGATCATTTTTAATCCAATAAATAGCTAATTATGATAATAATTAGGATAATATCTAACACGACTTAATTATTTATTTTTAATCATTTTACAAGTAAATACTATTGTTAATATTTTCCTTTATATCCCAAATTCTATGGGACTAACCTAACGTTAGTCCTATTAAATACCCGATTTTATAAATATTTTTTACGTTATCAATACACAAAATTTAAAATAAATTTTTTATCCTATTAAAAAGTTCATGTCATCAAAATATATAGGAGGAGGGAGGGGGACCAACTAATGCAGGGAAGAAAATTATCTGATTGAAATAACATGTTTGGTATTGAGGAGATGTTGATGTCTAAATTTAACTTTCGATTTCTCCATGAATTCGAAATGTTTGAAATTTTTTCGTATGTATTAGTTCATAATTTTTTTAAATTGTGTAACCGACTCAGTCTGAACTCAAATTTTGTTAGTTCATGTGATAAAGACCTATTTAATGATAGACCGTATGATCAACATTCTTTAGGAGACTTGCAAAAAAGAACATGGTACGATTATATATTGTTAGATAATAATCATCAAAACTCAAATTCAACACCACTCCACAAACTTTGTTGTTACTATCGCTAATCATCTCATAACTAACATAACCTTTTAATATTTATCATCACTCCGTTGCTTAATAAGTGTACTTGATGTAAATCACAACGCGTTCCTTGCTTTAAATCTCTCTCATACTCAAATGATTACAATTGCTCTCTATGTTACCAAGAATATTAACATATTGTAAGATATAATTTTAAAATAACATACTAATTAATTAATCCATTTAATATACAAATAACTTCTCTTTTTTTTAAAAATATTACGATTCATAAATTCAAAATTTTAATTTCGTCACATGAGTAACTTGCTATAGTGAGAACAGAGGGAAAAAATGGACAATATGGAAAAAGACGTGAGAAAGAGAAAGGAAGTCGGCCATATATTGTACTAAAAAGTAAAGTCAAACTTTTATTTAGACATTGAATAAATATATAAAGTATTGCGGCTTCTCAAAAGATATGGTTTAGATTTTTGAAAGTGAAATATATTTAATAAAAAATTGTACAGCTATAAGAAAAGACATATCATTGTCTCTTTGATTATTTCATCAATATTATCAAAAAATAGGTTTGTCAAATGAGTCGACATAGGAACATACTTTTCAGGGTATGTTCGGTAGAAACGAAAATATTTTTTAGAAAAATGAATCGATTGTTTATTTATTTATATTTAATATGTAAATAAAAATATTATTTTATTTTAAAAAATAATTACTTAAAATTAGATAAATATTATGAAAGACATAAGTGAAATAAGAGTACTGTGGGATGATGGGGATGGAAGCTACATACATGACCATGAGGGAGGGTGAAGATCGATGAGCAGATGTGTGGAAGTGGAGAGAAGTATATAATCAATGTACAATGACATTTTGGGATGAAATGTTATTCATAAACTTGTTTTTCGATAAGATAGGATTGCTCGAATGATAAGCATCATTCACTTTCAATTTTGAGTTGTGAGTTTGAGTCACCAAAAAAACTAGCGAAAAGGTAGGAGTTCCCAGGGAGGGAGGGGTAAAAAATATAAATTAAAAAGAAGTTGTTATCTTTATTATTTCTATAGACAATATTTATTTCTCTCATTTCTAAAGAATTTATTTTTCTTAAGAAATAATTTCTTATATAATCTTATAACTTTAGTTTTGTTAGAATAGTGATGATGTCAAAAATTTTATTTAAAGACAATTTATATTCTCTATGTTCAATTAGACAAATTCGAGCAAGACTTCTTTGGGGAATACATAAATTTTAAAAAGATAGTAATAAAGAGAAATAGCAAACTGACTATGCAGAGTGAGCTACCTGCTTATTCCCCTTGGCCGCCTCTTCTTCATTTAATATATACTATATGCTCTTTATTATTAAAAAAAAAAAAACACTGCTACATGCTGCCCCTTCTTCATCCAATTAAAAAATGGAAAAAAAACATGCTCTATGCTGCCTCTTCGAAAAAATGTGGAATTCATTTAAAATTTCAATTGTAATCTTACTTTCTTAAGATCCTTCATAAGATAGGGTTATGAAAATATTTTTTGGACTTCATTTATATTTTATATTTATCATATTTATTTTAGTTAATTTTTAAAATTCTATCGGTAAAATATCATAAATAAATATTACAAATTTCAAATAATGATAATTGAGCCCGTTCAAAGTACGGGCTTCCCCTTTCTAGTGTAACAAAGAAATATATTAGATTTTTATCTTATTTACATGGCGTCAAATATATTTATTTATATAATTAATTAATTTACTTATTTATTCGAATTTGATATATATATATATATAATATTATCCTTTCGAGACCCTATTTATTGAATTATGTTGGATATGTTATTGTTAAATTCAAAGTTAATGATTAGTGATCCATTAATAAAAATCAAATTTAGCGAAACTTGTTGTACTGGCTAGTTCACGAGACATAGTAATATACAGAAAAGATCTAACATCGTGGATAGAATTTTAAAAAATCTCTTATCACACTATAATAATAGTTGAAACCTCATCAAAAATAAAAATAAAATTGACGCAAAAATATTTTTGACGAGCTAATTTTTCAATGAATTTCATATATAGTAAAAACTCGATTTTATTAGTATATAAACTTAATTCCAAAATTATAAGTTTAAACATCACAATCTTTCAACACCAAACATGTTATTTCAGTCAAGACATTTTTCTTCCATGGTCCATGCTATATAATAGTCGGTTCTCCCTCTCTTTTTTCATGACAATTGACAATGACTTTTTAATTAGGTAGAAGTTTTTTAAATAATTTTATACACGGATAATATAAAAATATATTTATATGAATCAGATAATTTATATCTTTTTAGGAAAGAATATGCAGAATAGTAAACATTTAGCATATATTAGGTACTATAGTTATAGTTTAAGAAAATTATAATTTGCGGCTACAATTTCTTCAATTTTTGCTATTCGCCTAATTTGTATAATTCGGTTCCTGATTGTATAAATCTAGAATTTTGTATATGCTTACCCTAACTATTTGTATACGATTTATGAAAAATCATAATAAATTACCTTGTTTATATATTGGCAAGCGAAATATACAAACGAAATTTTGAAAAAAATCATAAATGTATAAACCCAGAATTTGTATATACTTACCCTATTTGTATATTCGCAAGCTTAAATATACAAACGGGCAGAAATTTACAAACTGTAGCCTCCTTAGCTTAGAGTCTTATTATGTCTATTATGTTTGCTATTTCTGAAATTTTTAGCAATTTTTTATAAGGTAATTAAGAGTAAATTCTTGTGATAAGTAACAACTTAATTGAATAACATACAGACGTAAACTAGATAAAATATGGTAGTCTAATAAGCATAGACATCTCAACATTAATTAAGTCAAATTAGACATAGTACTTATAAACTATTCCAACAATAGTACTCTTTTTTTGTAGATACTGTTACATTGATCACTTCACTTATGCATATATAATAAAATCATATGATTTTTTAAAATTCGTTAACACAAAATTCTAAATTCATCTCTATAGCAGGTTAGTAACTCCAAAGATTTTCAATATCAAAGTCTCTTGGTGAATACTCTTCCAAAGATGTGGAGTTTATTCTAGGGGGAGTTAGCATCATTGCCTCTGCCATATTCACAAGCAAACTTGGAAAATCAAATAATTCTTCCTCATCAACATATTCCTCCTCACCCGTAATCATTTGCGTATTTCCTGAAATTAGTGACGGAATCAGAAATTCCAATATGAGATTTTAAAAAAATACGAGGAAATGCCACACATGAAATTTGAATCGTAACCTAAAATAATATTTTAACTACCTTTGCTACTAGGGTAGAAGATTCCCTTTTGTTCATAGGAGATTCAACCGTTTATATATGTTCTTTCAATCCTATCTTACGTACGTACACAGTTCTTTCCTTTTTAGCATGTTTCGTAAAATAATATTGTATCTTTATATGTATCTGAAAATTACATTACATTTTACCCTTAATGACATATTTTATAGTTGTAGAAATGTCATTTATAGTAGATTTAAGATCTGCAAATTTCAAAAAGTTCTTTCTTCTTCTTTAGTGGCTATAGATAATTTTGTGAGTAGATTTTGAAGTATGTTTGATCATGAAATTTGATCAAATTTAGGACTTCCACTCAGAAAACATTAAATTTTTACAAAGTAAAATGTATGTTCAAAAATTCAAATTTTCAAATTTCAAGTTTCAGCTATGAAATCTATGGTCAAACATGAGCTTAGACTACATATATTCATAGTAGAATAATGCGACATAAAATAAAATAAGGAAGTATATATTTATATTTACCTATTTGCATAGCATAATTTTCCGACAAAGAAGATTCAACTGAACCCTCTTCGTTACATATAGCTGTTGTCTTGCTTCCCGACGACCGACCATCGTCACCTCGTTGAGCCATCATCGTTGCCGCTGTGGCCGCGGCGCAACGTATATTGTCCGGAGATGGTGAGGGAGGGAGCTTTGGATAAGAATTGACAAGATGAGGAAAATTGAGTACAATATTCTGAGTACCCTTAAGAGCTAAGGCAGCAACATCATAGGCAGCAGCAGCCGTTTGTGGAGTAGGGTATGTACCTAACCATATTCTTGTTGTTTTACGTGGCTCTCTAATTTCACACACCCATTTTCCACTTCTACAACGTATACCACGGTATATAGGATGTTTGGTATTTGTTCTTGCACTTTTTTTGTTGTCAACTAGAATGTTTGGTACTAATTGACCACTAGTATGTGAAAGGTTGGCCATATATATAAGTGTGTGGACAAATATGTCTATATATATATATACTAACTGTCAGTGCATTGAAGTTAAACTCATATACACATGAAACGTGTGTGATAATAATATGTGTAGGATAATATATATTGATGACGTAATTTATGTACGTACTTTGCTAGTACACTTAGTTAAACTCTTACGTATATGTGTGTATAGTTGTACGTGTAATGTACTTCTTACAACTCCCTCATTGCGCACACACAATATAATATGATACGAGTTGGTTAGGCAGAACTCAATAGCTTTGAATCAAACTTAAATATGTGATGAAAAAAACTACGAAATATGTGAAAATATAGTAATTAATAAATTGTGAACCGAGTAACATAAATGAATTGTAGCTTCGATGACAACCCAGAAATTGTTGAAATGTTGAATTTGTATCTGAATTGGCTAGACTTGTGATAGTATATAAGTGTGATATTAATGTGTGGATATATTGATATGTAGAATTTTAACGTTTGTACACTGACAATATTGTAATTGATTTTTGCTCTGTCAGTGTATTGAAGTTAAAACTCTTACATATATGTATGTGTGTATGTGTTTCTCACTTTCTATAAATTATATGGGTATATATATGTATATGTTTTGCTAAACAAAAACAAAAAAGTGAAAGCGTGGGCAATTCGTGGGTAAATTACTCCTAGTTATTTTGATGCGAGAGAATTGAACACGTATTTGGAAAAGAATTTAGATTTATATAATAGCTGTTATCTAATGTGTATTTCATTTTCATGCCGGCAATATATTTTCTCACACAACTTAGTGTGGAATTGTGTGAGAAGATTAGTAATGTCCCTGTATTAAGTAAAATGTTATTGTGAGTAATATTTTAGTCGTAAAACGTGATTCAGAGTAATAAAGTGTAAAATATTATAGTACTTTCTCCGTCTCATTTTATGTGGCACTTTTCGAATTTCGAGATTCAAACAAGTCTATCTTTAACCGTAAATTTATCATAGATCTTTTAAACATTTTGAATTATCAATTATTGTGACTTATAGTACTTTTTACGTAGTTTACAAAAATATAAATTTTATTTCAAAAAAATTGAAGATTTCATGAGCAAATTTCCGGTCAAACTTAAACTATTTGACTCTCGAAAAATGAAAAGTGTCACATAAATTGGGACAGAGGGAGTAACATTTTATGTATGTTTATTCAGATTTTTGTCATTAATTTTTTTCTGAATTTAAGTTTATACTAGTATTGTAAAAAAAAATTAAAAAAAACATATTTTGGTGAATTGATTTTAATAATGGCTTATTTTGGTCAAAGATACACACAAAAATAGTACTATATCACCCTACTAAAACATATAATATTGTTTAGCAGTCTGGTGCACAAAGCATCTCGCTTTATCTAGAGAATGGGTGTCGCTCCCAAAAGAGTAATAATGTAGATTGTCTACCCTAATACAAACATTAATGGCTATTTCAATATAGGTCACACAAATACAAATTTATCGATACTTCAAGGATTGATGGGCTTTCGCATGTAAAAATGAAATGGATTTTATAATAAACTGGTTTGAGTATGCTTATACCTATATAGCCCAAACTAATTGACGGGCTTTCTCACACCAGAAAGGCCCAGCTCTTTATTAGTCAATAAACTGCTGCAATTTTCATGATCTAACCAAATTATTTGGGGAAACTAAGCATATACCCCATGAAAGCAAAATAATTACAGACATATGTCAAGCCTGTCTATTTATGAATCCTCTGTTCATGAATCGGATGTGCGATGGGACCCCTTCCTTGATGAGGATTGCTAAAATCTACCCCTTTACATTCATACTCCACTAAATAATTATACTATATACCCCCCAACAATTTTCGCTTACCTGATACTAAATAAGTTGTCACGACCAAAAAATGGATGTGATGGCACTCATCTTATTCCACCAAAATAAGTCAGCATAAACCCAAATATAACATGATAATAAGCGAAAGTAAAAATAAGGATGAAAGTTTAACACCAGTATTAAAGCCGAATACAAAGTCAACTTAAATACACCCCAAAACCTGGTTGTCACGTGCACAAACCTCTAATATATTACAATAGATTTGAAAGAAAAATATAAATCTCAAATGATGTTGTCACTAAAGTAGAACAAGATCCGTTGAGTTGACAGACAACTATCTCACAAATTTTCACAGAAAGTCTCGGACAAGGAGAGAAGAGAGAGTATCACAAAGATCCGGGCACATAACCTACACAAATATAGAAGCAAGGGGTGAGTACCAAACCACACGACAATCAACAAGCGAACTCCTAAACACAACTTAAGAATATAGAATACGGGTACTCCTACCACAACAATATACATATACTCTTATAGTATCATTGGCTAATGAGTAATTTCTGAACAAGAAACCTTAATGATACAATACAGTATATATATACTGATTTTGTATTAGTTAAGCAAAATTATAAGTCTTAATGATACTAATACATTATATGATACTGATTTAGTATCAGTTAAGCGATAATTATCAGCCTTAATGAAGGAGGATATGGGTTGTAATTATTAATGAGAGAATGAGTATTTCTTAAATTACTTTGGGTTTGGGTATGAACGTGTAATTATTTTGAATTTTATGGCCCATTTATGTAGTTATTTTCAATTATTTATTATGGTTAAATATATAACATACCAAACACAAAAATATTTTGATAAGATCTCTCTATGTTAATTTTCGCTACATGTCAGCTCAATATTTAGATTTGGTTGAATTGGACGAATCAATATGGATTGAATTCATGGACTAATTTTTGTCACTCTCTTACTTGTCCTGATTCGATATTATGGTGTTCAAGGCGTAGAAAAATCACACCAATATATTCATTTTTATTACTTTTTCAATATATTGAGTTGGGCTGACCTATATAGGCTACTTTAAAGCCCAAATAATTTGTTCCAGTCATCCCAACTGAAACAACCTCCTAAGTCTAAACAAAAGCCCCAATTACAACATAAAATGTTCTATAAGTGTGCTAATACTAACTACCTCATGAACTCGAGCTGCCATTTCAAGAGTAGGGTAAATTCCTAGACATTCTTTTTTACCCACTAGGATCACGAACCTCACAAAACTCACTAGAATTTGACAAGCATGAAATCAAGTTATTACTCATCTCGAGGAAATTACTATTTTTTTTCTTTAAACGGAGAAGGGTAAAAAATACTCCTGAACTATGCAAAATAGACCACTTATATCCTCCATTACATTTTGGGATAAAAAAATACCCCGTCGTTATTCCAAAAGACCACAAATACCCCCAAGAGCTAACTACCCAATTTTTTAGTGATGTGGCAAGCCACATGGGACTAATCCCTCCACCTAAGTATTGCCAACTAGGATTCACTACAAAAGAACTAGACCTTTGGAGGTGATAAAAGACACCACAAAATCCCAAAATATTGCCACTAAAGGTTTGAGTGATTTTTAGTGGCGACTAAGGCTACAACAACCATTCCCTAGTGTAACATTTTTTTCAACAAACAAATATATGATAATTAATTTTCTAAAATAAATAACATGCACTATCAATATTAAAAACATCCAATATGATTACGAAAATCATCAAAATTACTTCTTAATTCAAATCTCGTACTACATAATGCATCATTACATTTTATGCATTTACATATGACATAAAAATAAAACACATTGTGTCTTCAAACTCCTGCTTGATCGATATCATTTGTGATTTTTAAAAAAACAATAAAGAGAAAAACACAAAATTAGAATTCAATGTTAAAATTCAATCAAAATCTTTAGTGACGATATTATGGGCTTTTTTGGCGACTTGTGTTGCCGCTAAAGGTCTAGTTCTTTTGTAGTGAATCATAGTTTGCAATGCTTAGGTGGAGGAATTTGTCCCACGTGGCATGCCACGTCACTAAAAATTTGGGGTGTTTACTCTTGAGGGTATTTGTGATCCCAAAATGTAACGAAGGATATAAGTGATCTATTTCAAATAGTTTAAGGGTAATTTTAACCATTTTCCTTTCTTTAAATAGTCGCGACGTTTGTAATACTCAATAATATTCAAGCTTTGACTAGGAGTATGTTGTTGAATTATTGGTTGTGGAAGTTTTACTAGTTTGAGAAATTTGTGAAAGTTTGAAAGTATTATTTTATAGATTTTGGATTATTTTTTTTTATTTGGGATATATTGGATTATGAATTAAGTAAAGAAGAAAAAGGAGGAAAATGTGGTTACGATATTGACACGCTAACACGGATTATTATTATTTTTTGTTCCTTGTGGGGTCTACTTCTCTATATATATATTTATTATATAGATAAGGGGTTGTTTCGTTTGAAGTATTTACTCCATATTAACAATTCTTATGTATTTATTTCTCAAAATAGCAATTCTCGAATATTTTTTACTATTTCAAAAGTGATCTATTGATTCCATATTTCTATACCTAACAAAGATAAGAATACACTCACCTTTTTTATCCGATTTATAAAAATATATGAAATATGTTATGAAATAATTCTCACATTATTAATCCACTAAAGAATTAATATATTAAAATCTTTGTATAACTAATATGTCAAACCAAACGACCCCTTATATGAATAGAAAAATGGAGAAAAAGACTAAATGGTTTTTTTTCTAGTACATGGTTGAATTAAGTAATGACATGGAAAAAGGTATCATATGATTAAAAAAAATAGTTGTTATTCTATTCTTCTAGTTTCCATTTTGGGTTTAATGGAACAAGAAAGTTTTTTCTCTGTTACTCACTCTGTCTCTAATTATTTGTCTATTTTGACAAATCAAGAAAGGACAATTTTTTTACTTATTATACCCTCAATTAAATGACTAATTACTTTTAAAAATGCAAAACTTTTTATCCACTTCATAATTAATAAGGGTAAAATGATAAACTCACTATATCATTAATTGATTTCTTAATAGGTGTATCAATTCAAAAGTGGATAAATAATTAGGGACAGAGGGAATAGTTTAGTTTCCATTTTGAGGGTCAATGGGATTGAACCATTGTAGGGTTAATTCAAGACATGAGTCAACTATTGTAAGCTCCAAAAAGGTGTGGCTTAATTCAATCCAAAGCTCTCCATTCACATTCTATATATACATTTTACTTGTACATATATAAAAATCGAGTAATATAAGTAAAATCAAGCATTTTAATCAATTTGGGCGTTCTCATCGAATTTGAGAATATAAAAATATAAAAGTAATTTCAATTCTTATTCCCTAAAAAGATAAAAGAAAAGTGTGATGGTGTCAATCTGTAATAAAGTGACTGAAAGTGTGTGGCATACGTGTGCCGCAACCACGATTTGTTTCCTTAAACAACACAACTTCTGTCTCATTGACTCGAACCGAAAGAAGAAAATTAAATTAAATTAATATTTTAAATTTAAATATTCAAAAATCGTATGAAAAGTTGACGGTCTATTTAAAATAATGTCTTTATATCGTAAGATAGGAATAAGGATATATACACTTTATAAGTAATCTTTTTCAAATATATTTACGAAATTATACTGAATATACTATGCAATATTGTACTTTAAAAAAAAGTAAAAATTACATAAATTTCATAATGTTAAGACCTACTTACATTTCATCCTACTCTTTTTTAAATTACAAAAATTCCTTAAAATTAAAGAATTTTAGATACATCAGCAGATATGCGGATACCTAGGTTGCGATACATTGTTATTCAAAATCTGCAGATATATAGCTCACGAATGTACCCGATAGGAAATAGAAATGTAATAGAGAGGAGAGAGATGTATTCAAGAGGGGAGGGATGTAAATGGGAAAGGATAGAGATGTGTCCAAACTCAGATATGGATGTATCCGAGAGAGGATAAGGATATATTGAGAGAGAATTTTTGTAATCTTTATATGAAGTTTTAGAGATTATGGTTAAATAAATTGTGTATTTAAATAATTTTTCGTAAAAAATACTATAAATTGTTATGTTTTTCACATAGATGATGAAAGAAATATTTTAAAATATTAATTAAAACACAAGCAATTTGACTTAAAAGAAATAAAACGTGATAAATAAAAATCAACTGAATATATTTTTAAAGTCTGCCAACGTAAGTCACTACTTTTTATCTGTCTCTTTCTCCATGTTTATATTCACATACAACGAAGAAGAAATTGACCAATAAAACTTGTAGCAATCAAATAAATAGACTTACGTGTTCGTGTCTATATCGTAGCCATGTGATATATCTTTTTCTTTACTTAAAAATTTATATCTATAAAAACAACTTTCATACTTTCACAAAATTCTTAAAACTTCCACAACCACACATTCAACAACATATACTCCTATTCATAGCACTATAATAGTCGCGACTATTTCAAAAGAAATAAGCATAGATGAATGATAATAACTTTAGAGATCACTACTTGCACGAAACATCAACATCTTCAGGAGGAGTTCAAGATGAAGGAATATTTCTACTAGCTTCGAGTCAACCTAAGAAACGTGCAGGGAGAAAGAAGTTCAAGGAAACTCGCCACCCAATTTATAGGGGAGTGAGAAGGAGGGATAATAATAAGTGGGTTTGCGAGGTACGTGAGCCTATTGAGCAAAAAAGAATATGGCTAGGAACTTACCCTACTCCTGAAATGGCAGCTCGAGCTCATGATGTAGCTGCATTAGCACTTAGAGGTAATCTAGCCACTTTAAATTTCGCCGACTCTAGTTGGCGGTTGGCGGTGCCGGTATCAAAGGATCCCGAAGAATTACGCCAGGCCGCTATGAAAGCAGCCGAAGCGTTCCTTCAAGATACTGAATCAGTTGAAATCAATTACATGAATCATGAGGAAATCAATTATAGTGAGGGAGTGAAGTGTCAAGAAAATATTGTTGTTGGTGGGGCCAGTGGAAGTGACAATAATAATTTGGTGGGTAATGAAGTGAATAACATACAAAATATGGAGATGGATAGCATTTTATGTTATAATAATAATTGGGGAGGCAATAATGAAATAGAGGGATCATCATGGCAAGAAAAGATGAGTGAGGGGCATTTGTTTTCACCAACTCCCCATTTAGATAGTTATTTCAGTTGGGATGATGTGGAAAGTGACGTGGAAGTGTCCTTGTGGAGCTATAATATGTAATTATGTTGTTCGGAGTCCAGTGTGAGTATCTGATACGAGTGCATGATGATATATAGGTTGAATTCTTTATCACATAACTTAAAGGATTCGAGGTATGAATCTGAATCATGTGGATATGTGTGTTGCAATATGATTAAATAATGTATGCTATGACATATTAATTGGTAATTCTCTTAATAAATTTATTGAACTAAAATTAATAAATGTAATTCTTTTATACACTAATAATATATTGTTTATAAGATATTTCGTGTGATAGCATATATATTAATGTAAACCTACATAATCAAATTAAATACTCAATTAATCTATACTTCTCGATCATAGATATAGTCAAAGTTTTCAAGATGAGTTCTTTATAATATTTGGCGTGGACCCTACCCCAACCTTTATTGCATCGTGGCAAAATTTTTGAGGAATCCACACAACATAGATACTTGATACTAATATGGGGAATGGGGATTATCGAATTTCTCTTCACCAACCAGCTATTATGTGTATTATTTAATGGGTAATGCTAAATGGCCAAAAATTTAAAAAATCTATAATATCCTTTTTATTTTAAAATAAATTAATTATTTTTTCATTTTTTAATTAAAATGTACTAAAGTTAAAAGGGTAAAAATGTTCAAAAAGGTAAAATAACATAGTGTGAAATATGTTATTTTACCATTCTGACCAAATTTTCTGGCCAAAAGGATTTTTCCTTAATTATTGACCGTATAGTAATTCTTATATTATTTATTCTCCACGTAACAATTTAAAATTGTTATATGATTAATCCCCATCTAAATAAGGGAAAATTGTATATAATAGCAAACTATTAATTCAAATTAAATGCTATAAACATAGTTTGATTTAATTGTACCCCATAGCAAACTGTTGCTATGTCGCCTCTCTCCTGGTGAATCTCACTCGCCACTCTCGTTCTCGATGGCAGTCTCCCTCGCCTCTCTTGCTTTTATACAAATACAAATGTATAAAATGCGTTTGTGTTTGTATAAAGCGAGAGAAAATTGTATATA